CGTTGCTAGTTTAAGATCATGTACATCCACTCTCTTCCTTTCTTTGATTATTTCGTTGCTGAAGCCAGCAAGGTAATTTCGGATTTTTTCACCGTAATTATCGAAAGCAATCTTGAAATCTAACTTAATTTGCGATATAACTTCATCCACATATTGTTTGTTTGCAACATCAGCGACATCTGTTGGCAGTTTTACGTTACACATCTTCAAATGACCAACATCAATATCACCGGTTGGAGTATGTGAAAATCCAGATCTGACTGTCACCATCTGAGCTGAGCGTGGAAACGAACCACGTCCGAATTTGTCGAGACTCATTATGCTAATGACTAAAGTATTGTACGTTATCGATAATGGTCGGCACTTTGCCTCGCCAATTATTAGCCCCTTCACTCATAGACATGCCATGAAAGTGTCACGGAACTGTCAAGGAAGTGTCACGGAACTGTCACGGAAGTGTCAAGGAAGTGTCACGGAACTGTCACGGAACTGTCACGGAAGTGTCAAGGAAGTGTCACGGAACTGTCACGGAAGTTGTCATGGAAGTGTCACGGAAGTATCACAGAAATGTTACACATGTTTTATTATGCCTGCCTCTTCCAATTCGTTCAAGATGGCAACAATCTCGTTATCGTTTGATGTATTTCCGGCTTGCTGTGATGCAATGAGCAACTTCAATCTATCTACCAATTCGTTTGGATCATCCCAATACATGTACTCGATAGGTGCTGTGCTGTATGTCAACTTCAAACCACGACCACTGGAATTGGATCTGAACATTGGACGAATAATTTCTACGTATTTGAGTCTAGAGGAAGACTTCATACGTCCTGCAGAATTCAGATGAGCTTTGGTGAGCAAGAGTATTTGCTTGTATGGGTTCGTATCATCTTTGGCAAAGGATGGATCATTATAGAAGAGTAATTGATAGAGGCCTGGGGTGCCACGGAACCGAAAGCCATCAAGAAGTATATCTCCAGTTCTTCGATGGAAATTCATTTCTTTTCCGTTGAGAGACCATTTCGATGTTACTGGATCATATTTGGGACCATAAACCGTATCGATATTTTCATCATTTGTCCAGTATTCAGTCAGATATTTTTGAGCCATCGCAGGATACTGATCAACGTAATCATGTATTGCAGCCGGTGAGATATTTTCACTATCTACAAAAAGTTCATCATCAGCATCGTCATAACCATCCTCATCATCATCTTCAGTATGCCCAGCATTATCAGCCACATCCATCATAGGTATGAAATTAGTTTGATTCAAATCCGATTGCTCCCTCTCCACCTCCCCATCCTCTTCCTCCTTCTTCTCCTTCTTCAACCCCAACGATTTTGCTCTGCTTCGCTTGATGTTTGAAAGCGTTCCATCGAGTTTTTCTTTTATTACCTTGGACGTGGTGGCAATTTGTTTCAAAGGTGATGTCAGTGGTTGGAATATTTTCTGTAACGCATCATCATCCTCAGACTTGCCCAATTTTAGTGCTAAATATTTTCTTCTGATTGATTTCGATAGTTCGTTGATTTTTTTCTTGCGCAGCGCATCAGCAACATCATCATGCATCTTGGTTGACGTCATCTTGATGAATGGTCCAGAGATTACAGTCTTATGAACTTATCGAAACCATTTCTATATCTACCAGCATTCATATCGAAAGTTTTTGCAATCACCATCGCACCATATTGGTTGGAATTCCAACACTCTGAGCACAATGCTTTAAATTGATCGAATGACATATCTGGTGAGACATGCTCGTCGAACACATGCTTCAAATTCATTTCATCCTGTCGAAATAACACCAACAGGTTACTGTTGTCTCGCACCAGCTGCTTCGGTATCTTAGAAAAAGTCTGGCATAGGTATGCTACGTCAATATCCTTGTGTCTACACATTGAAAAATATTCTCGAATTTTTTGCTGCTTGTCGCATGATACATCATCAAAAATGAATATCGAATTATTTTTCGCTTCTGATGGACTGATGACATCATCATTTTCTTTAAAGGGAAAATACCCAACACCTTTCACTGAATCCAACACTTGTTGCAGCAATTGATATTTCGGTTGGTACAACGACTTTGAATACACGTAAACGTTCTTGAATTTCGCGCCATTTGGATTGAACAGCAGGGAAAGCATCGCATTGGTCTTTCCACATCCGCTTGGTCCGCAGAAGATTGCTCTGAACGAATGGGGAAGCAGTTTCCCATGTTTACTATTTACTGGGGGTTTGGTTGACAAAATTTCATCCAAATTCACAATGGGTAACATCCGTTCTTGTTGAATGATCTTCATCATGTGATGATATATTTTTCATTTCATTAGGTATATGCAGAGTTGTCGAACTTCCTACACGTCAGTCTTCATGTTGCTCTACCACGGAGAGGGTGTGCTTAATTCTCTGATCGATAAACTTCCCATCGAATTACACATTCCAGGCTACAGATTTTGTGGTCCAGGTACCAAACTCGATAAAAGACTTGCAAGAGGAGACACCGGTATCAATCCGTTGGACGACGCGTGTCGAGTACACGATATCGCCTATTCACAAAATTCCTCAATAGAAGACAGACACAAAGCTGATTGGATATTGGAAAATAGAGCGTGGGAGAGAGTCAAGTCGAAGAACGCTAAATTCAAAGAGAAGGCTGCTGCTTGGCTTGTCACCACCGGAATGAAGGTCAAACGAAAACTCGGCATGGGTCTTGTATCACAGCAATCCCTATCCAACATTATCAAATTCATAAAAAATGTACTATCAAAGTCAGATGGTGGTGGTGGTGGTGGTGGTAGTACAACATCAGGAAGTGGTCTGAATAAATCTGCATTGAAAGCACTCCATGCAGCCAGAATGGCAGTCAAGAGGGCTGGCGGTAAAAAAAGAATCAGAGTACCAAGAATCATACCTCTTCCACACAGTGGCGGTATACTACCATTGATACCAATCTTTGCCGCCTTGGGAGCCCTAGGATCTCTAGCTGGAGGAGCCGGAGCAGTCGCAAAGACAGTCATTGATGCGAAAAATGCAAAGAAAAAGCTCGAAGAAGATCAAAGACATAATAAAGCAATGGAGGCTATCGGCAAGCAGGGTTCCGGCCTATTTCTACGCAAAACATCGAGAGGATTCGGACTGTACTTGAAGAAACAATCAAAAAACTCAAAAAACTTCTAGACAAGCTACCCAATAAATCAATGTACGATAAAGATGTGATAAAGTATGCCAAACAGCTGAAAATACCATATTTTCGAGGTGTTTTTATGCGGGACACTCTACCTTCCACCGGTCCATGGCATCGCGAGTGTGCTGTATTGAATTTGGATACCTCCAATCATGCGGGCACTCATTGGGTGGCTTACATAAAAAATGATAAAAAAGCCTTATATTTCGATAGTTATGGCAATCTGAAACCGCCCAGAGAATTGGCGCAATATTTGGGTGCCAGCACGAAAATCTTGTACAATAACAATCAATACCAGAATTTCAATCAAAGTAATTGTGGACGTCTATGTTTAGAATTCCTTTTTAATGAGACCAAGTAACTCGGTCATTGTGCATCAGTCATGTCTCTGATTGTGACGTTGAAAGGTCGTACATCTACGCTCTCCATAGACTTTTTGACACCACTCCAACTCGATCCAGACTCTGATTACGGACTAGCATTGTTGGGATTCCATTCATACAACAGTATACCGAATATCGACAAAGGATCAAAGTTTTATCTGCAAGATAAGACCAAGGCGGGAAAGATCATCGATATTCCCGAAGGTTCATACGACATTGTGGACATTGAGAAATTCATACGCAAAGAATTGGGCATCTCAAGTGCAAAGGACGTTGATGATATATTCTCGTTGAAGCCCAACAATAATACACTAAAGTGTGAGATTTCGAGCAAACAGTTTGCCATTGATTTTCGCCCGAAGGATAGCATAGCTCAAGTCTTGGGATTTTCAAATAGATTGTTGAACGCACAACAAGTCCACACTTCCGATTTGCCGGTCAGCATAACCAAAGTGAGAACCATTCACATTGATAGCAACGTTACTGCTGGAGCTCTCTACAACGACAGACCATCACATACGATCTACGAGTTTGCAGTTGCAGTCGATCCTGGTTACGCCATAGACGAGACTCCCAGAAATCTAATCTATCTACCTATAGTCAGCAGGCGGGAATTGCCCAACATTACACTCCAGATTCTAGACCAAGATTTCAGGCAGGTGAATTTTAGAGGTGAAGAAATCATAATAAGATTGGAATTGAAGAAACTCGCAAGATGGTACTAGTGTTTGATTACTCCTATAAATCAGATAATATACCATCATCAGCAACATCATCAGCACCAGTTCTCTCGACACCGTACACCAAAGCAGTCGTGTCTTCGAAGAGCAGCAGCAACAGAAAAACATTGACATTATCCAGTGTGCTGTTTCTGAAATCACTCAAAGACTACAATGTTGTTAGCACCCGTGTTCGACGTTTTCCGCAAACCCAGATTCGACGAAAGCATCACTAAAGTGGAATGGCGTACCTATTATCCATATGTGAAATCATTCGAGAACAATGATGTCATCGATATAACGGTTAATCAAGCAGATTCGTGGTTGGCCATGTTTGAAGGCATTATTACCATCAAGGGTAAATTGAAGGTGACCGGTGGTGGTACTGGTACATTAACCCACAATGCTGGAGCTTATCTCTTTGATTCCTGCACCTATGAATTATGTAATAAAGAATTGGACACTGTCAGATATCCTGGAATAACGAGTACTGTGCGAGGATACTTGTGTTATACGCCTGAAGACTCACGTCATCTAGCCATAGCAGGCTGGAACTATCCCAATGCTCCGATCCTCAACACCGATGGTACGTTTAGCATGAACATTCCACTGGAACATTTGTTTTCCATCTTCAATGATCATCAAGTGGCAACGTGGGGCAAGCAGTCAATCCGTTTAGTGAGAGCTCGCAATGATGCCAACAGTGTGAAGGTTGTCGAGAGAGCGAATACTGCTTTGCCAGGATCTCCTCAGACTCAAAGTATTGCTAAAATAACGATAGAAAGCATTAATTTGAAAGTGCCACATCTCACACCCAACGATGACATAAAGTTGCAGTTGTTGACACGTATCAAAGCAGATGAGTCTATGATGATACCGTTTCGCCGATGGGAATTGCACGAGCTACCAGCACTCACACAAGGATCTACCATAGAAATCTGGTCCGTCAAGACATGTTCTGCATTGGACAGTCCAAGATATGTTATAGTATTTTTCCAAACGAAAAAAGCCGATAATTTGCATGAAGACGTCACCTTGTTCGATAATGCCAACATCAAATCCATACGATTGGCTCTGAATAGCGACTATTATCCGCAAGAACGAATGCTATTGGACTTTTCCCGAGACCAATATGCCGACGCCCACTTCAACTATACAGAGTTCAACAAGAGCTACCATAACTGTCAAGAAAAGCGCTCTCTAGTAAACTTTGCCGAATTCAAATCCCGACCAATGTTTGTTATCGATTGCTCGAGGCGCCATCTGGGTCTAAAGTCGTCCACAGTTGACATAAAGTTGGACATTGAAGCTACTACAGGCTTCCCTCCCGACACCAAAGCCTATTGCATCATCATTCACGATCAAACCATGGAACATCTCCCACTCAGCGAAATTGTTCGAAATATTGCCTAGGTGGGTGTTGCTGCATCAGTCAGACGTCAGTTTGCTTCGAAGAGTCATGGAGATCGCACTGGTTGACATTCAAGGGTTCATGGTTGATGGCGAATTCATTCCAAAGGAAATGACCATTCGCATTGGCAAAAAGACGAGTCATTTTCTATTCAAGCCATCTGTAGAATTTTCGAGTTTGAGCAGAGAAGATAAAAAGATGGCAAATCATGTGGAGCGTTACGTTCATGGTTTAAAATATTCCAGTGGTTATGTGGATTTAAATGAGTTGGATCAAATACTACGAGATAACCTGCAGCAAACAAATATCATCTACGTTAGAGGACACCAAAAGATTCAGTTCTTGCAGCGAAAATGTGCAGAGTTGGAGATGACCAATCACATTGTGAATTTAGAAGATTTTGACAATTCTTGGTGGCAACCAATAACGTTTCAACAATCCATTCCACCTTGCATGCATCATTTCCATGGAGGAAGGTTCCAGTGCAGTCTCCACAATGTCGATACTTTATATAATTGGTTATGTAATTTATTGCCAAAATAAAAAACTATATATCGTAATTTCAGAGTTTTTATTCATCACATCCCTTATTTCTCAGTATAATGAAAATAACATGTGAGATTAAAATGAGTGAACATATTAGTGTACAACAAAGTGTCAAAATTGCAATGATATTGACCGAATCTTGATCATCATCTAATTTTGCGGGGGATTTCTTCAATGTAAATGTCTGCCAGTCCCCAGTTTCACCGTCACTGCCATCAGAAAACGATAATTTCAATTTGTAGTCGATGGTGGTCCCATTGACTCGAGGCATGTCGATTGAATATACAGGTAGTTTGTTATCATTGGCATACATTCTACTCATCAGCTTCCAATCACACTGTTGTGTACGATTCACATCAAAACATACGGCTGCATTCCTCGTATTGTACGGTATGTTTGTGTAAAAGACGTTGTTGCTCAGAGCTGTCAATAGAATGAAGCTTGCTTTCAGTATCGCCATCTAGCTGTGTTGGTTGGATTCTTCTCGATGTAGGTGCAGCTGTGCGTCTCGGTTCTGTGAACACCTTGTCCCAAACACTCAATTGCTCGAAATCTTTGAACAAACAAACTTTCTGCTCATACAATTGGATGTCTGCACTGAGCTTTCTAACTTTCAACCCAAATTCTTCTAGTGCACGTCTGTATTCGTCAGAAGACATGATACAACTGTTTTACACGTTCATACCTTCAACTAATATCCATCCAATCTCTCTCTCTCTCTCTTCTTCTCACTTTTTTACCTTCTCACTCTCTCTTACACTCACTACCCATCCCAATGATACACAGAAAATTTCAGAGATTTCGCATTTGGAGATCTTGGAAACACTTCATATGATGAACTTAGTCGTTTTGTTCAGATGTTTTCTAAGAATTAGTGAGTGTGGCATCGCTCACCATGCGCATGCCCTAATAACACAATAACATCAGTAAGACGTCGTAGAACCATCCATATGGTATCATCCCAACTCTGGAAAATCCCTATTTTCCTTGGGACATTCTTGTCAGCATTTGCGATGTCTTATAAACATCCCATCAGAATGTTTGTGGGATGATACGGGATGTACCAGAGACATTCATGGTACTTGATATGGAACATCTTGAAGAAACTTTTAGGATGTTTTTTATTTGATGACAGTGATGGATGGATGACACGGTATGAATTATTTTCATTCTGAAATCCTGAGAATGACCGACCTATTTGCAGATATAAGGTAACAATTCGAATCCGAAAATATATAAGTTCGGTGCAGTGCAATAACCAATGGAAGATGATAACAGTTGTTTGAGGCTCATATTTATTTGTTGGCGATCGGCCGACGGCTGTTAGTAACTCTTAGCAACGTAGTTGTACCGCCATCTATCGGCTGGTATAACAAATAAATTCAGCAATGAATATGCTGAAGAGATATATTTAAATTTTGTCGTTTATTACATGGTTCATGAAGTTAAGCAGGTTCTTTGGTAATCTTATTGAGGAATATTTAGTATAATCATTCCAATTTGTTATCGATGAAATTAGCCGCCGGCTTTGGTATAGGAATAAGTACGAATACAGTTTTGATTGAATTTTAGGTGTTTTTTCCTAGGAGAACACCCTATTCAATTATCAGCCCAATGTATTCTAGTTAAGTACCTATGATATAAATTGATTTTTCTACAAAAATTGCCACATAATCATACACCATGTTCCAATATCGAATTTCATGAAATGACAGACTATTAGTTGTGAGAAAATCAGCAAGCTGAAGAGTTTTGCTGTAGTCATAGAAAACGCGTAGTATATAACTCACACAGAATGCTCGTATGATTTAACTTATGCAGCATACTTGAGTGCTTTCATTCACTCTGCACGATAAAAGACAAGTGTCCGACTACTGGCAAAGAAGAACACAACTTGTTGCTTCTTTTTGGCTTATTGATAATATGATCTATTGAGCATTTCTTTCATGCATCACATAATATGATTCTTTTGTAAAACTCAGTCCACTGTCCGACTATACTGACTGATTCACCCTATACATTGAGAGGCTTATCTTCATGTGTGCATATTATATTCAAGCATTGTTATGCATTTTATCTGCCACTGAATCCGCCGAATATTTCAAAATCTGATACTCTTACAATAGATGAGCTATAGACAACAATTAACGAGTTGGTATAAAAGACATACACGGGTTCTCTTATCGTCTTTTCACGAAATCAACGAACTACCGAAATCAAACAGCTGTTCAAGTTGGAGCGTTCAAACAGGATGCCGTTATCTTGGTTGTTCTATATTTGGCGTATACAGAAAATCATATTCTTTCAAAGCCTAGAAAGATGATTAAATCAGCTGAGTTATAGACTAAAATTAACGGATAATAAAGGAAATAATCCTATTATTATTGATTCTCTTATCGTTCCATATGAGATACAAGGAACTATCGAAATCACACAAAAAACAGCTGTTCAAGCTGAAACAAGAGCTGTTTTTAGTCCTAGACCTAATATTCAATATCTCACACTAAAAAATATTTCTGCTATACAGGGCGGGTCAGCAAGAAATGTCGCTACCTCGTTTTTCATTTTTGTGACTCTTAGAGTGATTATCATCGTAAAAATGTCAGTCGACCAAAGACAGTCAGCAAGTCAACCAAGTTTATGATTTCATCACACTACCTACCAGTCATTATACAGGGTTTTTAAATATATATTTTTGTATGCCAAGTTGAGTAGTCATTGTGAGTCTACTCGGCTACCAGGTGTTGAATAAAAACGGATAATTTTGACATCATTTATTTTTTAGATATTATACCAACATTTTCAAGTTCAGTAAGAATAAAGGCAATCTCATCGTTGTTCTTATCTGATTCCATTAAATATCTCAGTCTATCCACCAAGATATTCGGATCAGTCCATTCATCTAAAATATTGTACTTCTCATTCCCAATACTGGCTTCAGGCTCCACGCTCGACTTTGGACGTTTAGGTTTGGTCTTATTTTTGAAGAGGGGTCTGATAATTTCATCAAATTTCTCCTTATCAGCTTGTCCTCGTAATCGCCCTAATCGATCTCTATGAATAGAGCTGATTTCTAGCATCTGTTTATACATCTGGTGATCCAGAGGCGTGTAATTTCGAGGGTTCTTGGAAAATAATAATTCCAAAAGACCCAGAGTACTTTTAAAATCGACATTATCTACGCCTATGTATTGGTCCTCAAAGCGTAGATTCTTATGTCCAAGTGTCCATCTGCCGTCAACATATTTCAGTCCATAAGCATTATCATAATCTGCACAGTGATATTTATCTAATGCTTGCTCTGATGAATGTGGTTTAGACTCCATGATGTGAACGCTATGGTGTCTGATATACAGCTGAAGACTTTTGAATACATCTGAAGACATCTGAATACCTCTGAAGACCTCTGAATACCTCTGAAGACATCTGAATACCTCTGAAGGCGTGATCTGAAGACCTCTGAAGACATCTGAAGACATCTGAAGACATCTGAATGCGTGATCTGAAGACATCTGAATGCGTGATCTGAAGACCTCTGAATACCTCTGAATACTTCTATAGGTGTGATCTGAAGACTTCTGAATCCATTAACTGCCATCCGCTAATCAGCTAGGTTATTCGAATTGGTGGCGTCCACTCTATGGGCATTCCTCATATGGTGGTATAGATTAGTTTTATTCAAGAATTTCCCGCATTTCTCGACACACAATGCTTGGTGTCGATTATAGCGAAATTTTCACTCTTTAAAACTCTCCCACGTTCTATTGATATTGAAAGCAATCTACTCTCCAGTATTGAGACACTCTGTTATAAATCTGAAATATCTGTGCTCTTAGAGTTTCTGAAATCTCCTGCTACCACTCTGCTAAAATTCACCGAACAAGAATTGCACTATATTCCAGTAGAGTGTATCATTGAACATGCTAATGCTTGTGGGCTATTGGCTGTGTGGCACAAACTTCCCAATGAATATCGTGGCAACTTCAACCTACAAATCAAACTGCCATGCTTCGTTCATTATAATCGTCCCGATTGGACCACACACTGGGATGGACCGCCATCTTCTCAAGAATCATGCTATTTTTGTAAAAAAGCTTTACTGTGAAATAAAAATTGATTATCTAACAATAATTTTCCTCGTAGTAGTTTCATTTCGCATTTATGTACCATTAATGACATATGTCAATGGTAGAACGATATCCCTCAAACCATGCGACTTTGCATATAGGTATATTGGCATTTCCGAGAATTGTCCATAAAAAATCCTATTTTTGAGAGAGTACCCACACACGTGATGTCATTTTACCAGAAGAAAAAAAACAACAGCATGACGCGTCACCCACTATAAAAATAAATAATTAATTATTCAAGTATTTGTTTCCAATACGAGCGCGCGCGCGCTTATCATTCTAAGGGATCTCTCGCTTTGCTAGATCTTCGAACGCCATGAAGCGAGACAGCGTTGCCACACACAATAATGTAACAATATTAACATCCAAACACATACGTCCGACAACGTTGCAGCACCGCGCGCTCGAGCCGCCTTACTCTCTACCTCGATAGATCCGTTGCAAAGATAAGCGCGCGCGCCAGCGATGGATATTATTTTCAACTCGAAGTTTCTTATCTCTGGAATGCATCTCTCGCTTCACTGTACCTCGATAGATCCGTTGCAAAGATAAGCGCGCGCGCGCCAGCGATGGATATTATTTTCGACTCGAAGTTTCTTATCTCTGGAATGCATCTCTCGCTTCACTCTACCTCGATGGATCCGTTGCAAAGATAAGCGCGCGCGCGCGCCAGCTATGGATATCCCGTTTGAATAGCATTTAAATAATTGAAATATCACGGAGGTCGGAATACCGCAGTGCGTATATACGCTGCCTCATAATGCAAAGGTCCCTGGTTCAATTTCCCCCACCGGCGGTGACAGCTTTTTTTAATTTATTTATTTAAAAATTCATCATGATTAAGATGTCATAACCTCACAATTTCAAATTTACCGCCATCAGCGCCGCCGCCATCTGCAAATTTGAACTTCGCGCCACCAGCGACACCAGCGACACCAGCGCCAACGCTAACTAGCGGCATTTTATTGAAGCTCTGGCGACCAAACGGCTTTGTATCACTACTAATGGCATTAAATAACCTTCCTAATGGGTCATGAAGAATGTGATATACTAGATACTAGATACTAATCAGTTTTTATTTTCAAATAGCATATTGTCTCTGAAAATTGCCAGTCAAATCTATTTGGAATACTACGATATAGCACATACTTGGTGTTTTGTTCATTGATAACAACAAAAAGATGAACATTTTGTACGTACGTACGTGCCGTTTTAGGAAATGTTGTCTACAGTATACCCTGTGCTGATTGTGATCAACATTACATAGGCCAATCTGGACGATCTTTGGCCAGCAGAATCACCTCATACAAGAGCGACTGTAGACACCATCCAGAGAGATGTGCCCTTGCAAGTCATGAGAATGAGTTGGACCATAATATGGATTACCATTCAGCTAAAGTCCTAGCCATTGAAAGTAACTATACAAAAAGGAATTTTCTAGAGATGTCTTTCATTTCTCAAGAATCTCAAGGGCGCCGTACATTATGCTATTTCTCGGCAAAATTGAAGCAATGCTCGCAATTCTCTCGATATTCCTGTCATATTTTCTTGTTCATATTCACTATTTTCAGGTTTTTTGAGCCTTTAATGTACTTTTTGAGGTTATTTGGTGTTTCAGGCCACGTTATGGGGAAAATTTGTATTTTATCAAGATACTACGATGAATATTACTTATAATTTCACTAAACTTGCCTTGAAATTGCAGGAAAAATAGGACTGGTTCTATTACGAAACTTGCATGAAACTTGCCGTGAAATATCATAGACGCATGCGCATTGTTCGATTCAAAATTGCATTGCATCGAACTTGCTGGTAAATGGCATAATTTACGGCGCCCTTAATTGCATTAACAAAAAAACAGACATAAAACATCTTAGTGAAATATCGTGACATGCGCGACAATGTACACACAGCAGGAATGCTCAGAATATACAGTCACTTCGACTCTCGCCGTATTTTCGTGAATAACGCACATTTTTGGTGTCAACGTGTCAACGTCGACCTTCGGGATTTTCGACACAATTTCAATATCAACATTTTTCTGGTGTTATGTGAATAATCAACATTGAAACATATCGGGAAAATCTATTCGGGGTGCCGGTCTTGTCAATGGTGGAACCAAGGAGCTCCTGAGAACATCAACCATCAAGGGCAATCAGCCAGCCATCTTAGTAGCAACCGGCAGAAATTCACGTATAGCCAGGTATTTGTCCATTCATAAGTGATGCTCTCGATATTTTTATTGTCAATGAATACAGTCCACCGCTTAGTAGCATTTTCGTCAATCGACTTATAATTTGGAAACGAACAGCAAGTTATAATTGAACTATATTTTCGGCCCATTTTCAAACAGAAAATTTCAAGGTCTGTCAGAGAGAATCTATCCATTCACAAAACAAAATTATCATGAAGAAAGAGGAATTGATTGCAAAACTATGTAATGAAATTGTAAACTCGAGAATCAAACTAAGGAAATCAAGTTAATTGCAACGTGTCTAAGATAAGGATGTCTCTCATGGGAATCGTTTTTGACTTTTTCTGACGTTAATTCAAGATATACAGGAAAACATAAGACACTTTCTCATTCCCATTTTTCAAGCTCTACAAAATAGCGTTGAGCTATACCCCATTATAGACATCCTTATCTTGGACTCGAGGTATATAATTGAATTTCGTTTTCAATAGCGACCGAACCAGCTATAAAGTATATGTATCTATTTTGTCATATCAAAATGTTGTCACATGCATTCTTCTCATAAACCATTGTTTCGCGAAAAGTGCCGTATCGGTATAGAATTGAAGTGGGTGTTTATACCCTATTTCTATTTTCCATCTACGACTATGATTGATTCGACCGGAAATATAACGTCGCCTGACATGCTGACGAAATATGATCGTGTGTGTTGTAGACATTTTCAATCTATTAGCAGTATTATAGCGTCTATATTGCACAAGTGACAGAAGGAATTTCAATAAAAAATAACAAAATTTCATGATGAAAACTATGTGAGATCACTATTCACCTGAAAAATCATATTCCTTCCTCTTGGGCCATTTTTTGTGCATTGTACAACTGCATAATGAGAAGGCATGCTTGAATTAATGAATATGTAGCGCAAAAACACGATTCGTATGCCAAAATATTGTGAAAAACTATTTCAATCCCTTGATTTCTCTGTGAACGAATAAAAAAGGGAGGTTTTGTCTCAATGTTTCACTGAAGAGTGAGGTTGTGTTTCAATATTTTACCTCCAGGGTAATCGTGCACCATATCGCGACCATCGCGACCTAGTCATTTCGGTCATGACCATCAGCAGTCTAGATAGTGTTTTAAGTCAGCTACTCATCCGCGGCAGGTAAGTTCCGCAGCATGCTACCTTGGTGACTAGCGTGAGACACTGTTATACGCCAATGTCAATTGTCAAGAGTTGTCAATCGTCACTCGTCAGTCAGAAGAAAAGAGAGTCCTTTTCAAAAACCTTATTTTTTTTGTGAAAATACTCGAAATTATGTTTCAGATCATAGTTCATCTGTAATATGTAATATGTAGATGTGTATGGTATTTCAAGTTCAACAGAAAATTGGTTTCACGTTGATTGCTATTTTCGAAAGAAACATGTCCTCGGAAGAAGATAATATCGAATTGAGAGATTTGGTTGCCCAAACATTGGAAGCCAATGGAGTACTTGCCCAAATAAAAGTAATACGTTCATTCCATAATGTTATTGACAATTAAACATTGATACATTTACAGGCTCAGCTGCGGGCTAGTGTATTTCTAGCCTTAGATGAAGATGTCAAGGTAAGATAATTTTAATTCATAGCATAATTTCAAAACTAGAACCTCATCAGTACATGGAGTGATCTTTGGTGTATACAGAGTGTTGCTCAGCTCTTGCAACATCTCTGGTTCAAAAATTCTTTCCTAGGGAGCCACAGGACATCAAAAATGGACCACTGAGAATGGTTTTCATTCAATGTATCACGATTTGAATAGAAAAAAGTTGGTACAATGGGCATGTTTTAGTGAAAAATCCTATTTCATCCATCATGAAATGCTAACCCAAATTAGTTGTCACAAACCATTTTCTGCTCAGAACTTTGTACACTTAAGCTAGCAGGACCACTTTGGATTTTTGAAATTTATCATAGGCCATAATTCAAGGCTGATTTAATACCTGTTCACTGAATTCATTGCTCTTTGATTCATGCATGGGATCTGCTAGTTTATCCTGGAGCTTAATAAAAGTTCAATCACAAGACTAATTATATCATAATTTAAGGCTAATTGAAGACTCCAATGCTAGCCTTGTCATGCAAAAAATGATTTAACAAAAAAATCAATGATAAGCTCAAGAAAGTGCCTTGAAATAGCTTCAAATTATGGTAGATTTATTCAAGGGGTAATCCACTCTGCCAAAAACGTACATGGAATGAACAGATTGGACATTTTCATTGGGAGAATGAGAATATTGGCTTAAGATTGCATTCCAATTAGATGAATTCCATCTGGATTGGACACCAAGTGTACACATATTGGACATAGTGGTTGACCCCTCCATTATAATTATATTTCCATGATTTTTTCTTCAGTGTGCCTCAAATCAGCCCTGAATTATTATGGAATAATGAGTTTTGTCATTGAACTTTTTATTGATTTTCCCGTGGTTTGTCATGTTCATATTGGATTGTTGAAAACATTTGTAAAAAATTGTCAACAAAACATTGATGATATGCTCAAAAAACAGCTTGAAATAGCCAAACTATGGTATACTCAATATCCCAGTTAATATCATTAAATTCCCTGTATTTAAGATTTGGTATGCTAGCTTGATGCCTTGATGGTTAAGCTAGCAGAACTCATAATCTTGTTGAAAAAACAATGCACAAAAAAAGTCAACAATAGGCCAGGATTGTAGCCTCAAATAAGCCTCAAATTATGGTATAATTAAAATGAATAAATAAATCTAACAGAACCCATGTTTTTTCCTATTTGTTGAAGAGCAATGAATTAGTCTTAAATTATTTCTGGTCAAAAAATTTAAATAATCAAAGTGGTTTTGCTAGCTCAATGGAGGTCATTATTAATCCAATACAACTAAAGAAAATTCATATGTGAGTCATTACATCCTCTAAGTGGAAATGGATGAGGGCTAACATTATTTTATTGTCTACCAGAAGTGATATACTTCTTCTTTTTGTGTCATTTGGCATCTTCCTATGATATCTCCTTCCCCATCAATGTTAAAATGGGTCATAAAGTTCCCCAGTTCAGGATAAAAATAAATAGTCCTTTGAAGAACTAAAGAAACATGCTTTTATTGACAAACAAACTATAAAGAAGTAGCAAATTAATAGTAGTTTGAAAAACTAAAGAAATGTACTTTTATAGATAACCAAACTAAAAAGAAGTAAAAAATAAAATGATAAAAGTATGGAAAATATTAGCACCTCCCTAATCAGTATATTTTAGTATATTCAATATTGTGTGTTCATCAACAAATTTTTATCATTTTATTTTCTACTTCTTATTTTGGCTATCTATAAAGGAGTGTTTCTTTAGTTTTTTTAACTACTATTGATTTTCTACTTCTCTTTTTTTTATAAAAGTGTGTTTCTTTAGCTTGTCAAACTACTATTGATTTTTTACTTTTTAGTTCCGCTATCTATAAAAGCGTGTTTCTATAGCTTTACAAACTGCTATTTATATTTTACTTTTTAGTTCGGATAACTACAAATGCTTGTTCTTCAGTTTTTTTCATATGTTTTGTAAGTAGGTACCCAATTTTGATGGAAGAATCATAATCTTCAACCCCGAAAACCCCCAGACGAGCCCCCAGATAAAATTTTTGAATAGAATCGGATCCTAATTACAAAACTCGACCGCCATATTCGATACGCCATCTTGATTGTACTAATTTTTGTTGTTTTTTATAGAATCGGATCCTAATTACAAAACTCGTCCGCCATATTCGATAAGCCATCTTGATTGTACTAATTTTTGTTGTTTTTTGACTGCTAACCTGTTGTTTTAATAGAAAAAAGGTAAAGGAAAGTGAAATTATATTATGAATTGATTGACAGATTTTATATTCAACTTTTTATTACTTCACTAATGTTACAAAACAATACATTTATCTCAGCCAATCTTGATACCCAACACGCCCCTTCATAATTGGCTTCTAATCCTGTGAGTTTCTCCAGGATGTAGTCCAACTGCAGAACAAAATCTCTGATGCTTTTGAGTTGCCAATCCTTGTCAAAATGTCAGCAGGCATATCATGCATTGTAATGTATCCAACCTGAATTTCTTTCTGCTCGACAACTCTGATAAAATGGTGCCTGATGTCTACATGCTTGGTTTGAAAAACTGGATTCTTGATTATCACTGAAAATAGTTGTGGTTTCCAGCTCTTGAACTATTTCATTTAAGAATCTTCTTAAGTAAATAGCTTCTTTTGATGCATCTGTAAGAGCCATATACTCTGCTTCTGTGCTGGATAATGCCACTGTTTTTGTTTAGGAGATGACCAACTTATTGAAGCACCTGCCATAGTGTAAATATACCCTGTGTATCTTCTGTTGTCTAAATCAGCACCCCAATCTGCATCAACATATCCAACCAATGTATGATCACTTCTTTTGAAAATACGCCCAACATCCTGTGCTTTCTTCAAATATCGTAAAACATGCTTTGCTGCTATCCAATGCTCTCGTCCGTAGTTTTGATTGTATTGACTCAAAACACTTACAGCATAAGCAATATCTGGTCTGGTTGAAACTGCAAGATACATTAATTTTCCAACAAGACTTCTGTAGGGAGTTTCCGCCATTTTTTAATAATAATAATAATAATAATAATAATAATAATAATAATAACATTCAATTGTAATACATTGTTACAATTCCTAAATTGTTACCCATTTCTAAGTAAATATTGTTATCAATACATGTAGGCATATCATATTTTAAAGTAACAATTATTCATTAAAGATTATGAGAGGGTTAATATAAATCGTTTTTATAGTTTCTATCATGGAATTGCATGAACAGACAAACAGTATTCATACTGGTATAAGACTGTTCATGATGTTGCTTTTATAATTATACAATATTATTTCATTGAATGTAACTTTTAGAATTACAAAAAATATATAAATTTTATTGAACATTACCAAAAAAAAACAAGAAAGAGAAACAAAGAAATAAACCACTTGAATTCAATTTCTTTTTGGAAGAAAATATGTTTTTATTTTTATTTTGAATTCAGTAATATTCCTAGAATTTTTTATGTCTTGTACAGGGTGATTGACTATGGATTTCACGACTTCAACAGCTGATATCTCGAAAACGAAAAAAGATATTTGAAATTTGGAAAAAGGTACTTGAATGAGATGTCATTTCCTTCTAGAAAATGTGTTCTCTGCTTGATTTTATCATTTTATATACAGGGTTTGTGAAAAAAATTTTTTTTTTCAAATGGAACCCCCTGTATATTATCGCATATTTGGAAAGAGCTCTCTTTCCTGATTTCGAAAATATATACTTTCCATATATTCTATCGAGGGCTTGGCGAAATATCAGCAAAATTAAATATTAATATTTGGTCCAAGTTAGCTATGGTTGAAATAGAATGAGTCAATAAGAAATGCAGTGAGAGAGTTTGGTTTCAGCTATTATTTTGTTCAACATACCTTGAAGAAATATAAATATAGGGATTTCAGAATAAAACCATGCCACAAACTCAATTATGATGATAATGAGAACGGATTGAATTTTTTCTGGTCATATCTGAAAGATTAAATATGAGACAAATTTATTTTGATGATATCATTTGGACAGACTCGCAGAAACAATAAGGTCGGTCGTCTATTCTTGTTTGGTGTGGCCTTCCTAATGGAAAAATATTGGGACCAATGTTCATAGATGGGAATTTGGATCAGAGAAGATACCTGAGCCTACTTCAAAATGAAATTCAAGATTTCATAGACGAAATGCCACGGGAAATGTTCTTCGGAAATCTCTGCTATCATCCCTTCACTAGCAAAACCAATCAGACGAACTAGACAAGCCCAGTCAGCACATCCATTCGTTGTCAACCTCGGAAGATGTCGAACAGCACTTTATCAAAACTCCTTCATCCATAGAACGGCTAGGTTCTGGAATTCATTGCCTGAGGAAGTATTCCCAACAACATATAATCTCCAGAAGTTCAAAAAAAATTCCAATACCTACCTCCTATCCCTATCCTCCCTAGGAACGCACGATGTTCTTTGAACGTTATAGGGATTCCCTTTCGTGCGCTCCAAGCGATAAAAAAAAAGAAATATCTAGAAGGATGATCTGGCAACAAGACGGTGCACCTTGCCATTCCACAAACCTCATTATTCAATATTTGAATTCAAATTATAATGAGTGGATAGGAAGGCGCGGCACGATTTCCTGGCCACCAAGAAGCCCAGATCTCACACCACTCGACTTCTTTCTGTGGGGAACATTAAAAGACAGAGTTTATAGACAAAGAGCCAATAATTTAGATGAAATACGCTATAAAATAATAGTAGAGATTGCGGATCTAAATGAAAACCCGGAGCTCTTTGATAAATTGAAGACATCATTCATCAAACGCCTGAATTGTTGTCGTGAAAATAATGGAAGTGTTTTTGGAACATTTGATTTGATCGAATTCCAGAATTATTTTTGTTATTGTTATAGTATGATTGTTAATAAATAAAATGTTAGATGCGTATTTATCCTATTTGCTCTCGAGAGATGGAATATTACAGGAAAGTGGGATTCAAA